TATTCTGTTCCTCCCCAGGAGAAGGGTAATAAAATAATTTTCTCGCCTGCTTTTCAAACCCTGAACTCTCTCCTTTTTGCTGTGTGTACCAAAACCTTATTAGCTTTGGGGAAGAGGATTTGCAAGGCATTTGGACATATAGAAGAAAAAAACTCCAGTAAAATAAAGTAAATCTGAGAGCACAACATGCAACTTGAAATTATTTAAAGCACTAAAACACACATTAGCCCTTTTAAATAATAATAGCTCTTTATTTAGCTCAGTCATAGCAACAATATCTGAAGAGGGAGGACAGTGTGGAAGAAAAGAAGCAGCAGCTGCAGAGAGTATGCAGCAATGGCAGAGGAAAGACAAGGTCTCTTAATTTTCCCTCTGTAAGATGACAAATACATAATTTGCTGAAAGTGTTCAAAAGTGGCAGTGTTACTATGGCGATGGTGGTGCAATGCACTAAAACACTGCCAGTTTCCCCCCCACCCCGTGCATCTTTCTAACACATTTTTTCACAGCACGATTATCCCCAGCACAAAAAGCTCTTCTGTAACACGTTGTAACTGCAACCAGTGACTACAGACTCCATTTTTCAAAATGTGGCTCTGCACACGACTGGTTTTGTTTAAATTAATTTCTGGGTTCAGAGATGCACACACACCAGAGTGACAAAGCAGAAGTGCTGTGACACTGGAAGAAAGTTTCACAGCTCCAAGAGAAAGGGAGGATGGGTCCTATTAATACTATGGTGTAAGAAGCTGTGTTTCTCATTTATTTCTTTGACGAGGCCCTTGTTTCTCTGGACAGAAGGCGATACATTTGTCAGGCACTCATGAATTTCTCAGCTCTTTCCCCCAGTGAGTGAGAATGTTCTTTCTAAATTAATCATTATTGCAACTATATTAAGACAGAGGTTAAATGCTGCCCTAAGCTAGGAAAGGAGCGGATGCAGGAGGGGGCAGGGGGGAAGACTGCCAGAAAAAGCAGGATAAGTATTCCTGTTTTTCAGGCTGCTCCATTTAAGAGCACTTTGAGAACCTTATACTAATTATCTACTCTTCCTTCCCTTCAATGTTATAAAACACATATAACGTTTCACAAAGTATTTTTACACTTGGATGACAGAACTTTCCTCATTTGAGTAACGCTCTTTACAAGCCCTTTCAGGCCTCCTTCCTTGCACATACTGATGAGTTCCTCATTCCTTAAAATGCTTCCCATTTAACCTGGGAACACCAGAAAATTACAGTTGTACCTGTTCAAAACTGTTTAACCGAACTGTAAAGCAAGAAAATCCCACCTAAAAAAGCATCTGTTCTACTGAATGGGAAAACCCAGCTGAATGTGTTCAGGTTGGAAAAGAACAAAATAATTAGCTGCCAAAAACTGGCAAGGTTAATGCTTAGATCAACAGAATACTTGAAAGTTTCAGACAGATTAACAGCAACAAAGGATTCTTTCTTTCCTAAGGACATGCACACACAAACACTATTGAAAATTGTACGTAGACAATTTTATTTAGTTCTTTAAGTGGGCTGTTTTTATTTAAGTCACATACAATCGCCAAAGTGTTTCTGCAAAGCATCACTTCTCAGCACAGCCTTGTCAGAAAAGGTGATTAGAGCAAACTTTAGCTGCACTGAAAATATTGCATCCAATTTAAACCTGTGCCCTGTAACTTTCCATAAAGCAGTAAATGGAGCTGCCACTTTCACATGCAGTAAACACAGGTCTCCTTCACCCTGCAGAGCAGGCAGGAAAAAGCTGCTGGAGACCATTGGATCCTGGCAGATCTTGCTTCACCATGGATAAAAATGGCACAGGAAAAAAGTTTAACAGCACAGAAACACCAACTCATTGAGGGGTTGGAAGGACCCTCCAGAGACCATCTGGTGGCCCAGGACAGGGTCCAGCAGGATTTTGAGCATTCCCACAGTGGAGCCTCCACAGCCTCTCCAGGCAACCTGTTCCAATGATCTACCACCCTCACTGTGAGGATATTTTGGGGTTCGAACGCAATTTCCTGGGTATCAGTTTCTCTGCCACAGAGAAGAGTTTGATCTCATCCTTTTGACACCCTATAAGATATATACATATTTTTAAACCACATTCCAACTGGTCTCTTTCTCCACACCGAGGAGCCCCAGCTCTCTTGGCCTCTCCGCAGGCAGGAGAGGCTCCTCCAGGTCCTTAGTCATCTTTGTGGTCCCTCGCTGGGCTCGTTTCAGGAGGTCCCCGTTTGCCTTGCACTGGAGAGGCCAGATGGGACACGCTGCAACCCTACCTGATCAGTGCCAGATCCTGGGTCAGAGCAACATGGGTCACCAAGACCACATTTATTAAAGGAGAGCAGAAGATTAAGAACAGTCAGGTGCTTTTTGTTTCCTAATAATAAAACCAAAGGATTTTGTGGTTCAAACCAGAAATTGTCTCAAGTCCAGTTTGGCATACAGAAAACATCTGCATTATCCAGTATGTTCTCAAGAGTCTGATACAACAGTATAATGTAAATGCTACATATACTTTTTCCTCTGAGACCACTGCTCAAGGATTAACTTTTATATCCGGGAAGGATGTTGTGAAGACACTTCTTAATTTTACACCAATTACTCAGTTGCATTTAAAAATCTGTAGCGAAGCCAATTTCACAACACTAAAAGAAAGAGGTGTGCACGTCCTCAAAACTCTAACCAGTCCTGGGCTGGTTAGCCCGGGAGGACATCACATTTTCAGCCAAGAGAAGCACGTGCACAGACCTACCAAAAAGGATTCATGCCTGCAATTCTGTTCCTAAAGAATGTACTTGAGCTTTTCACACTAGCCCCTGGAACATTTATGTACTCATATATACCAAGAGCTTGTACTTCAAGGAAAACATAGTATGGTGAAGCAACTTCAAATTAACAGGTTCATTATATAAACCTGTAACTTTCCTAATGCACATTAGCAGTAAACTTGATTTCAGCCTGTATCAGAGCATCGCTTCCAGGCGCTTCACCTTGCAACTCACATTCCGAGAAGAGCCAAAAGAGTAGGAATTTTATTTTTGTTACTATTTTTTGAATTATAATATAAGCAATAATGGGACCCTTTCAAAATAAAACATTTAGAGCACCATTTAGGTTTACTCTTCCAACCTTGCCACGGTTAATAAAATGTTGGCAATTGAAGATCAGGCATTTATTCACTCCTAGGTGGAAAATGCAAGTCATACTAATCTGTTCAGAGAAGCTGAATAATTTATTTGCATAAATGATACCCAGCTTCTCTAATCACATTAGTGTGTTCACTAGGTAACATACTCTTCCTATCCCGAAGGCCCAGGTTCCTGTTTTAAAGGATAAGGATTGTATTTCCATTAGATGACTCAAATCAATTTGTACAGTAAAAAGAAAAAAATCAAGACAAAACTTGTAAGAGATCTTACACAGTGTCATTATTTCCACAGTAGCTGAATGCTTTGAATAACACTTTTAGTCTGGTGAAGTGTACATAAGGGCTCTAGTTACCATTCAGAAAATTTAAGTATGTCAAGTGTTTTCTTAATAGCTTAATTGCATGGAACAGGTTGCTGGGAGGTTGTATTTCTTTCTAACGTTTTCTGATTGAAACTGCACAAACAGCAACCTTGTAAAAAGTAGCTCCACATCCTTCCAGTGCACCCTGAGGGAACATAAGAGACATTTTGTCAATCAAATCAGTCCTCCTCTCGTTTTGTATGCCACATGTGAACTTTTCATTTCTGCTTGCAACACCTGCCCCTGTGTGGTTGCTGATCTCCCAGTGCAGACCAATGCTCATCGTGCTTTCCTAGCCATTGCAAATATGTGCAATTTCTGAATTATTCATAAGCCTAGAGAAACAGGAATGGTCACACGAGCCAAGACCACATTACACCAGCTTGATCATTTTGGCATAACATTCTTCATACCCACCTTATCCCCCATCAGATCAGTTAAAAAAAAATGCTGATTTGTGGGAGAACGAGAGGGTTCAGAACAGCAGCTGTATTTAAAAAAAACACAATTTTGAACTCATAAATCAGCAAGTATCTTCCCATCCCTCATATACCCCTGTTCACTCCTGTTGGTTAGTCTCTTTACAATGAATTAAGAGCATTATACTTTTACAAAAAACACGTATATACCTCAGAGCAAAACCTTACTAGCTCACAGGTTAATAACCAATCTGGGGCAGAGGGGGAGCAGGAAAGGAGGGAGA